AGAATCATGAGGTCAGACACCTGGTATACACTTAGTTAGGAACCCAGTTTGTGTCTCATATTTTGGAAAACAACATGTACATCCCTTTCATCTTCAAGTGCTGATCTTGTGCCTTATAGTGGAGTTTTGGGGGAGAGTTTCTGTTCTTCACTGCAGCTCTAGGCAGTCGTTGGTTTAGTGACCTGATCAGTTACATCTTTAAGTTACAACCAGACGCTCTGTATTGCTGAGCTGTTCTACACTTCTAAATCGTATTGTTTGCCTTTCTGCCTCTTCTTGTGCACTGAACCTGCCCTTCTCCTCCTCAAACTATGTCTTGTCATCTTGCATTCTAAAATCTTACTCAAAGATCAAATTTTCTTTCTGCTAAATTGTCTATATTATGAAATCACAGTCTTGATATTTCTTTAAATTTTACTTTGTAGGGCATTTTAGAAGCTTACTTTGTGTTGATCACCTGATGGATCCCTTAGAACAGTTTCATTAGACTCTTCAGTCTCCCTCTGGATGCTCCTACCTGTCTTCAGCCTATCTCTCTCCAGATTTAAATACCTCAGTTACCTACTATTGCACCTCCCTTCCTCCAAACCCTCTATCCTTCCCCATATTCAAGATTCAACATGCTTGTTCTATGCTCCCTTCTCTGATGGTCTGGGTGCTTGATGATTTTATTCCATGTTACTCGGTGAACTACTCAGTAAAAAGAAACAGGATGAGATGAAGACCTATCGGTACAGCAAAAAGACTATACAAGGAAAATGGCTAGATTAATGTGATTATTTGATGCTTTGCTCCACCTCTAAGCCAGAATTAATCTGAGTCATCTTCTCCACCTCACCTCTAAATAACTCTGTGAATTTCTAAGATACTTTTCTGCATCCAATATCAGGGACAATCACGAAATTCTCTAAATTTCAACTCACCTGACATCTTGCTGTCGTACACTAATTCTCCATCCTTCTCTGTCTGTGGTCAGCTACCTGAAATATTGGAGATAGTTTCTCAAGGTCCTTTTCACAGCTGCTTTCACCTTTTTGTTCTTCAAGCTGTAGATGAGGGGATTCACTAGGGACATGATTGCACTGTACTGCACAGAGAAGACGAACTCCAGTGGTGAATCTGAGTTTGGCATGACATAGTGAAGGAAAGTTGAGCCATAAAATAAGAGCACTACAGTGAAGTGGGAGGAGCAGGTAGAGAAGGCCTTGCTTTTACCTGTGGAGGAACTGATGCTCAGGATGGTGGAGACAATGAGGGTGTAGGAGAACATGATTAGGACACAGGTTTCAAGTCCATGAAGGAGGGTAGAGCAGAGCATAACAGTAAAATTGGTGGATGCATCAGAGCAGGACAGAGGGAAGAGTGAGGGCAGCTCATAGCTGTAGTAGGCGATGGGCTTATCGCCACAGAAATCCAAGTTCATAGCCAGAAGGATGTTGATGAGTGCATCCAGAAAGGCTAGGCTCCAGGAGCCTCAAATCAGCACTTTACAGAGTTGGTTGCTCATAACCTGTCCATAGAGCAGAGAGTGGCAGATGGCAACATAAAGGTCATAGGCCATCACTGCAAGCAGGCAGGCTTCAGTGCCTCCAGTATCAAACAAAAAGAAGACTTGAGCTAGGCAGCCCCCCACAGAGATGATTTTTCTTTGAGACAAGAGATTCTCCAGCAGCTTGGGCACTGTGGTAGAAGAGAAGCAAAGATCCAGGAAAGAGAGATGACTTGGGAAGAAGTACGTGGGTGTGTGGAGGTGAAAATCCACCCAGATGACCAGTAACATCAACAGAAGGTAAATCCCCAGGAACAACACAAAGAGCAGAGCCTGAATCTTGGAATCAGCAGACAGTCCAAGGACGATGAACTTGTTTACGGTGCTGTGGTTTCTCCAGGACATTTAAAGATTCCTTTGTTCCGTGAAATAAGAACAGTAAGTAGATTGAGCCCTCCACTGACCCCTGCCTATGTCCCAGGACATCTCCATCTTCTCCCTATACATTCCCCTCTTCTAAGTCTGCATTTTATCATAGAGATTTCAAAGCTGTTCTCACTGACCCCTAAGGCATTTTTTTCCTCCCTGTCTGTGACAGGGGTCCTGAGCCTCCA